GCAAGCGTCCGTCGTCGTCGTCGTCGTCGCCGTCGTCGTCGGGGGGCCGCGGGGGAGCCCCGGGGGGGCTCCTGGCAGCCCCCCTGGCGACACCCCTGGCGACCCGCGACGGCGACGGCGGCGGCGACGACGGCGGCGGCGGCGGCGACAGCGACGGCGACTTCGACCCCCCTCGCGGGCGCGACCCCCCTGGCGGGCGCGACCCCCCTGGCGCGCGCGACCCCCCTGGCGGGCGCGACCCCCCTGGCGGGCGCGACCCCCCTGGCGGGTGCATTCCCCTGGCGGGCGCGACACCCCTGGCGGGTGCAACCCCCCTGGCGGGCTGCGACCCCCCTGGCGCGTGCGACCCCCCTGGCGGGCGCGACCCCCCTGGCGGGTGCGACCCCCGTGGCGGGCGCACCCACCTGGAGGGCCTGCGGACATGGGGGGGCAAACCCCCCTGGCGGGCGCGACCCCGAGGGCGGGTGCGACCCCTGGCGGGCGACCCCTGGCGGGTGCCAGCCCTACCCCCTTGGCTGGGCGAACCCCCCTGGCGGCGAGCAACCCCCTGGCGGGGCAACCCCCCTGGCGGCGCGCAAACCCCTGGCGGGCTGCAACCCCCCTGGGCGGGCGCGACCCCCTGGCGGGTGCCACCCCCCTGGCGGGTGCCACCCCCCCTGGCGGGTGCAACCCCCTCTGGCGGGCGCAACCCCCCTGGCGGGCGCAAACCCCCTGGCGGGTGCAACCCCCCTGGCGGGTGCAACCCCCCTGGCGGGTGCAACCCCCCTGGCGGGTGCAACCCCCCTGGCGGGTGCAACCCCCCTGGCGGGTGCAACCCCCCTGGCGGGCGCGACCCCCCTGGCGGGTGCAACCCCCCTGGCGGGTGCAACCCCCCTGGCGGGCGCAACCCCCCTGGCGGGTGCAACCCCCCTGGCGGGTGCAACCCCCCTGGCGGGCGCAACCCCCCTGGCAGGTGCAACCCCCCTGGCGGGCGCAACCCCCCTGGCGGGCGCAACCCCCCTGGCGGGTGCAACCCCCCTGGCGGGCGCAACCCCTGGCGGGCGCGACCCCCCTGGCGGGCGCGACCCCCCTGGCGGGTGCAACCCCCCTGGCGGGCTGCAACCCCCCTGACGGGCGCAACCCCGGTGCGACCCCCCTCGCGGGTGCGACCCCCCTGGCGGGTGCAACCCCCCTGGCGGGCGCGACCCCCCTGGCGGGCGCGACCCCCCTCGGGGCTGCGACCCCCCTCGGGGCTGCGACCCCCCTCGGGGCTGCGACCCCCGTCGGGGCACGTCGCTGGAGGGCCTCGCGCCTCCACGCCTCCACGTTTCTCCTCCTCCTCCTCCTCCTTCTCCTCCTCGTCGTCCTCCTCCTCCCTCCTCCGCCTCCGCCTCCGCCTCCTCCTCCTCCTCCTCCGCCTCCTCCTCCTCCTCCTCCTCCTCCTCCTCCTCCTCCTCCTCCTCCTCACCCCTCCCTTTTTTTCAAACTGGGTCGTCGCTTACGCAGACGGGGCGCCCAACGTCGCACCTGACCAGTCGGGCCGAACCGAACCGGAGCGGCCACTCGAACCGAACCGAACCGGTCGGACCCAACCGCGCGAAAACCGGAACCGAACCGAACCGGCGGCAGGCCCAAGCCGAACCGGCCGAAACCGGACCGATGCCAAACCGAACCAGCCAAGCAAAACCGACCCGGCTGCAGAACCGGACCGAACCGAACCGAGCCGATCCCTTCATGTTATAGGTGAGTTACAAGTGCCCCGAGTGGCTTAGGGGGGTCAACGGTCATCCCAGTAAGCCCAGATCGGGCGTTGGCAGAACTGGGTTTAGTGGGACCTGGTTTAATGATGTGTTCTGGGGGACGCCCCCCCCCGCCCCGTTCCACTAACCGGAACTGCCGCAACCCGAAATTATCCCGGCAAAGCAACCTAACAGCGATGTGTAGGAGCATATCTGGAAGCATTCCCCTTAAGATTCACATGATAATTCTGCTGTTCTCGCAGTCGCAGTCGCATTCGCGATGAAAGTCGCAGCGGCAACGGCAGTCGCAGTCACAGCACAGCCTCAGCCTGCCTCAGCCTCAGCCTGCCTCAGCCTCAGCCTCAGCCTGTTTCAGCCTCAGCCTCAGTCTGCCTTCAGCCTCGGCCTCAGCCTCAGCCTGCCTCCGCCTCAGCCTGCATCAGCCTCAGCCTCAGCCTCAGCCTGCCTCAGCATCAGCCTGCCTCAGCCTCAGCCTCAGCCTCGGCCTCAGCCTCAGCCTCAGCCTGCTTCAGCCTCAGCCTCAGTCTGCCTTCAGCCTCGGCCTCAGCCTCCGCCTGCCTCAGCCTCAGCCTGCATGAGCCTCAGCCTCAGGCTCAGCCTGCCTCAGCCTCAGCCTGCCTCAGCCTCAGCCTCAGCCTGCCTCTGCCTCAGCCTCAGCCTGCTTCAGCCTCAGCCTCAGTCTGCCTTCAGCCTCGGCATCAGCCTCAGCCTGCCTCAGCCTCAGCCTGCATCAGCCTCAGCCTCACCCTCAGCCTGCCTCAGCCTCAGCCTGCCTCAGCCTCAGCCTCAGCCTGCCTCAGCCTCAGCCTCAGCCTGCTTCAGCCTCAGCATCAGTCTGCCTTCAGCCTCGGCCTCAGCCTCAGCCTGCCTCAGCCTCAGCCTGCATCAGCCTCAGCCCCAGCCTCAGCCTGCCTCAGCATCAGCCTGCCTCAGCCTCAGCCTCAGCCTGCCTCAGCCTCAGCCTCAGCCTGCTTCTGCCTCAGCCTCAGTCTGCCTTCAGCCTCGGCCTCAGCCTCAGCCTGCCTCAGCCTCAGCCTGCCTCAGCCTCAGCATCAGCCTGCCTCAGCCTCAGCCTCAGCCTGCTTTCAGCTTTCAGCCTCAGGACTGGAGTTTTGGGAACTCGAAGACCACGAAGTGGCCTACAGTTGGCTCCGGGCATTCAAAATGTGGCCCGGGAATGGAGTTCTGGGAACTCGAAGAGCACGAAGTGGCCTACAGTTGGCTCCGGGCATTCAAAATGTGGCCCGGGAATGGAGTTCTGGAACTCGAAGAGCACGAAGTGGCCTACAGTTGGCTCCGGGCATCCAAAATGTGGCCCGGGAATGGAGTTCTGGGAAGTCGAAGAGCACGAAGTGGCCTACAGTTGGCTCCGGGCATTCAACATGTGGCCCGGGAATGGAGTTCTGGGAAGTCGAAGAGCACGAAGTGGCCTACAGTTGGCTCCGGGCATTCAGAATGTGGCCCGGGAATGGAGTTCTGGGAGGTCGAAGAGCACGAAGTGTGTGACTGTTGGCTTACAACGACTTCTGCGGCACCCTGTCCGGCACCCGCCGAGACCCCCCTGTGGAGTCATCTGCTGCTCTCTTTTTAGCCCATTAGCTATCAGTCTTCGCTGTTAGGTAATTATCCCGGCACAGCAACCTAACAGCGATGTGTAGGAGCATATCTGGAAGCATTCCCCTTAAGATTCAAATGAGAATCCAGTTGTAGAATTGTGCTGTTCTCGCAGTCGTAGTCGCATTCGCGATGACAGTCGCAGTGGCAACGGCAGTCACAGACACAGCCTCAGCCTCTGATGGCCTCAGTCAGCTGCTCGGGCCTCAGCCCAGCATGGCTTCAGCCTCAGCTCTGTTCTGGCCTTCCCTCTCGGGTCAGCCGAGGGCTGCCCGAGCCTCACATATACGTATGCTTGCCTCTAGCTCAGCCTGCCTCACCTCAGCCTGCCCTCAGCATCAGCCTTGCTCAGCCTCAGCATCAAGCCTGCTCAGGCATTCAAAATGTGGCCCGGGAATACAGTTCTGGGAACTCGAAGAACACGAAGTGGCCTACAGTTGGCTCCGGGCATTCAAAATCATGCCCAGGAATAGAATTCTGGCAACTCGAAGACCACGAAGTGGCCTACAGTTGGCTCCGGGCATTCAAAATGTTGCCCGGGAATGAAGTTCCGGGAACTCGAAGACCACGAAGTGGCCTACAGTTGGCTCCAGGCATCCAAAATCTGGCCCGGGAATGGAGTTCTGGTAACTCGAAGAGCACGAAGTGGCCTACAATTGGCTCCGGGCATTCAAAATGTGGCCCGGGAATGGAGTTCTGGGGACTCGAAGACCACGAAATGGCCTACACTGGGCTCCGGGCATTCAAAATGTGGCCCGGGAATGGAGTTCTGGGAAGTCGAAGACCACGAAGTGGCCTACAGTTGGCTCCGGGCATTCAGAATGTGGCCCGGGAATGGAGTTCTGGGAGGTCGAAGAGCACGAAGTGTGTGACTGTTGGCTTAAAACGACTTCTGCGGCACCCTGTCCGGCACCCGCCCAGACCCCCCTGTGGAGTCATCTGCTGCTCTCTTTTGACCCTACTAGAAACCTATCAGAACAAGCTGTTAGGTAAAAAACACCACCTACGGCAAACCTTGTGTAGTGATTCTGGCCAATCCAAAGGCTCCGGGGCCCTACCACTGACCGCGTCCCCCTTACTCTGTGTCCCTCAATAGTTTTGGGGCCCCGGACTACAGGTACCCCCCGGACTACAAGTACCCCTCCCCCGGACTACAGGTACCCCCCCAGGTACCCCCCCCCCGGACTACAGGTGCCCCCCCCCGGACTACAAGTACCCCCCCCCGGACTACCCGCACATTTTCACACTTAGGCGTGCTAAGAAATTCGCCGTGAGGTCCCGCGCGCGTAAGTACTAAACACCCGCGTGCGTGGAACCACGCGTGCTTTGAGGCATGACCATATGCCCCCCCGGACTACAAGTACCCATGCGTCCGCCCCCGGGAACTACAGGTACCCCCCCCCGGACTACAGGTACCCCCTCCGGACTACAAGTTACCCCCCCCGGACTAGGATACCCCCCCCCCGGAGACTACCCCCACCCCAGATATAGGTTACCCCCCCGGACTAACTACAGGTACCCCCAGAACTACTGAGGGACACAGAGTACCTGGGGTCCTTGCCATACCCGACCAGACCTGAACACATCTCCCTCGGGAGCCTCGGCCGGGTCGGCGAGCGGCTGCCCCTCGACGCCGCCGGGGGGCCGCGCCGCGCCGCTCGGCGCCGCGCGGGGCGCCTCGGCGAGCGCCGGCGCTGCGCGAGGCTCGCCAGGGCGCGGTCCGCGCGGGGGGGCGGCGAGGCCCTGCAGGTCGAGGATCTGCACCTGGGGAGCACCGAGCAGTTTCCAGACGTGCTCGCGGCGGAGGGGAAGGGGGGGGGGGGGGGGGGGGGGGGCCAAAATGTGTGTGGTGTGTGTTGTGTGTGTGTGTGTTGTGTGTGTGTGTGTTGTGTGTGTGTGTATGTTTGTGTGTGTTGTTGTGTGGTTGTGTGTGTGTTGTGTGTGTGTTGTGTGTGTGTTGTGTGATGTGGGTGTGTGTGTGTGTTGTTTTGTGTGTTGTGTTGTTGTATGAGTGTGTGTGTGTGTTGTGTGTTGTGTGTGTGAGTGTGTTTGTGTGTGGGTTGTGTGTTGTGTCTTGTGTTGTGTGGGTTGTGTCTTTGTGGTGTGTGTGTGTTCTAACGGGTGTTGCCATCAGCGGAGTTGTGTCTGTTGTGTGTGTTGTGTGTGTTGGTGTGTAGTGTGTGTGTGTGTTCGTGTGTGTGTGTGTTGTGTGTGTTGTGTGTGTGTGTTGTGTGTGGTGTGTGTGTGTTGTGTGTGTGTTGTGTGTGTTGTGTGTGTTGTGTGTGTGTGTTTGTGTGTGTGTTGTGTGTGTTGTGTGTGTGTGTTGTGTGTGTGTTGTGTGTGTTGTGTGTGTGTTGTGTGTGTGTGTTGTGTGTGGTGTGTGTGTGTGTTGTGTGTGTGCGTGCGTGTGTGTGTGTCTATGTATATATATATATATATATGTATACATATATGTATACATAGATATGTGTGGTGTTTATTCTTATATTTTGTTTAACAAATTATCCTGGCAAAGCAACCTAACAGCGATATGTAGAAGCATACCTGAAAGCATTCCCCTTCAGATTCAGATGAAAATCCAGTTGTAGAATTCTGCTGTTCTCGCAGTCGTAGTCGCATTCGCGATGACAGTCGCAGCGGCAACGGCAGTCGCAGTCACAGCCTCAGCCTCAGCCTGCCTCAGCCTCAGCCTCAGCCTGCCTCAGCCTCAGCCTGCCTCAGCCTCAGCCTCAGCCTGCTTCAGCCTCAGCCTCAGTCTGCCTTCAGCCTCGGCCTCAGCCTCAGCCTGCCTAAGCCTCAGCCTGCATCAGCCTCAGCCTCAGCCTCAGCCTGCCTCTGCATCAGCCTGCTTCAGCCTCAGCCTCAGCCTGCCTCAGCCTCAGCCTCAGTCTGCTTCAGCCTCAGCCTCAGTCTGCCTTCGGCCTCGGCCTCAGCCTCAGCCTGCCTCAGCCTCAGCCTGCCTCGGCCGCAGCATCAACCTGCCTCAGCATTCAAAATGTGGCCCAGGAATGGAGTTCTGGGAACTAGAAGAACACGAAGTGGCCTCACCAGGCGGCATTCAAACTCTGCCAGGACTGGTAGGTTTGGGAAATGCAGCGCAGAGTGGCCTACAGTTGGCTCCGGGCATCCAAAATGTGGCCCGGGAATGGAGTTCTGGGAAGTAGAAGAGCACGAAGTGGCCTACAGTTGGCTCCGGGCATCCAAAAATGTGGCCCGGGAATGGAGTTCTGGGAAGTCGAAGAGCACGAAGTGGCCTACAGTTGGCTCCGGGCATTCAGAATGTGGCCCGGGAATGGAGTTCTGGGAGGTCGAAGAGCACGAAGTGTGTGACTGTTGGCTTAAAACGACTTCTGCGGCACTCTGTCCGGCACCCGCCCAGACCCCCCTGTGGAGTCATCTGCTGCTCTCTTTTGACCCCACTAGAAACCTATCAGAACAAGCTGTTAGGTAAAACAAAAAAAAAAAAAAAAAAAAAGGGCGGCGGGGGTGTTTGGCCTGTGGTGGCTTGGGGCTCTCGCTGGCCTGGGGGCCGTCGAGGCAGGGTCCGGGCTAGAAGCCGTCGCGGGGCGGAGGGTGGTTAGGGATACGGGTGTTCTGGGAACTGGCATTTTGGGGAAAACGAAAGCCTACTCGCTTTTGCCACCCTCGCTTCAAGAGATACCAAACGATGCCAAATTGCAGCCTGTACTGGTCAGGCCGCTTGACGAGGAGGCGCGTGGTATGGCTTGGTTTTGCCTGGAAGCGAAAGCGGGGTAGGTACTTCACGCTCTGATGCATGCATGCTGGGTTTCCACGCCCCAGGCTTCGGGCTGCACAGAGTAGAGGCCTCCGAGATAGGGTCCGAGTGGATGGGTTCGAGGAATCGCGCCGCATTCCTGGGGTCTGGGACACTGCATGCATGCTGGGTTTCCACGCCCCAGGCTTCGGGTTGCACAGAGTAGAGGCCTCCGAGCTAGGGTCCGAGTGGATGGGTTCGAGGAATCGCGCCGCATCGCCAGTGCATCACCGATGTATCAGCAATGCATCGGCGATGCGTCGGCGACGTCGGCGATGCATCAATAACGTCGGCGTGGGGAAACACGGGCTCCACATCGAGCCGCATCGTCGATGCATCGGCGATGCGGCGCTATCCTCCGACCTCATCCACTCGGACCCCATCTAGGAGGCCTAGACAGAGACAGCCTCCCAGGGAAGCCCTGGCTGGCCTCGCCAGGCCCCCCGAGCAGCTCAAGCTGGCCTCCAGTGGCCTTCCGAGCAGCCCGGGGCGGTCTCCACACCCTCTGCCGCTGCGCGCTCTGGTGTGAGGTGCCTGTTGAGGCCAGCTGGGACTACTGGGGGGGGCCTGGTGAGGCCAGCTGGGACTATCTGGGGGGGGGGGCTGTCCGCGCGCCACCCGAAGCCTTTCCAGACACAGATATCAGACAACGTGATGTTTTCCATCTGGGCGTAAACGGAGCCGAGACGAAAAACTGCTCCCCGGGAAGGGGTCGGGAGCTCTTGGGCCGCTGACTGAAACAATCAGGTCGGAGGAAGCCTGAAGGGTAGAGGCACACATGCCAATCATGCCCCCTGCCCCACCCACTACCTCCTCCGACTGTTCCCCCCCCTCCTTTCTGAGAGAAAGACAAGGACAAGGACAAGGACAAGGACAAGGACAAGGACAAGGACAGGCGCCGATGTACGGCCCTGGGGGCTGCCCTCGAAGAGCTCGGCGGGGGCGCTGGAGCGCCGAAACTCAGATGTCGTAGGACATGGTTGCTTTACAAGCCGGAACCTGAATCATTGACGCCATGGATCTGGCCCCCCCATAAGTTCAAGCGCGGGGGAGAGGGGAACGGGGAAGGGCAGCCTGGATCTGTCTGGTTGCCCTCCTCCGAGGGACCTCCACCCGTCCCAGGTGGGCGTCGGCCTCCAGCAACACAGGGTCCGTCTTGCGGATCTCACGCCGCAGGGCCAGCAGGTGCTTCGACCGGATCCGGCCGCGGGAGCTGCGCACCGAGTCCACAAACGCCTCCCGCGAGACCATGTCGTCGCCGTCCGCCAGGAGCCTGAAGAGGTCGAGCGCGGGCTCCATGTTCCCCGCGTGGTCCATGTACTGCACCTTGGTCAGGAAGTCTCGGAGAGGGCCAGGGCTCTCCGCGGCCTCTATCAAGGCGTACTGGTCCAGCCTGCCGCGGTCCGCCTCTGTGAACTCCTTGGCCAACTCGTTCAGCCTCTCCTCGAGTTTGCGGTCCTCTGCTTCGTCTCGCTCTTCATGCTTCTTCCGCGACGTATCCAGTATGCTCTCTGTGAGAACGCCGGCGACGGTATTGAGTAACGAGACGCTTGTGAGCAGTATGAAGAAAACATAAAAACACGTCAGCCAAGGATATGCCATCGTTGTTCGCGCGATCTCTGGCCAGCCCTCCAGCGTCATGAACTGGAACAATGTAAACATGGTACGCGGCAAGGTGCCATACCACTCAAGAATGAGAGGCTCCTGAAACATGTCGTCCTCGTCGCAGCAGCTCTTGCCCACCATCCTCGTGATGAGCATGCCGAAGGTATACAGCACCATCGCGACAAGAGCAACGGCCCAGACCATTGTGCGCATGGCTGTCCATATGGCGTGGAGCAACAACACCAACTGATGCGCAAAACGGAAGATGCGCAACAGCCGTAATATACGCAGCATTCTGAAGAGTCGGACCACGCGAAAGACGGAAAGGATGCGAAGCTCTAGACTGCCCTGAAGCAGGGGTAAGACCATCACATCAATCCAGCTTATAGCCACGAGCACCGCGTCAAATACATTCCATGCCGACCTGTGCCAGTTCCACTGGGACGCCAGCACGCGCATCCCCAGTTCGATGCTGAAAATCATGGTGAAAACCCAATCCAACGCCAACCACAACACGGTGTCCTCTTCTGGGCGAGTGTCGGTCTCGACCACCAACACTAATGCGTTGATGACGACGGCCGCTGCCATCGACACCTAGAAGAGGCACGAGGGAGGAGGAGTGGGAGGGGGCGGGAGACGATGGCTGATGAGGAAGAGGACGTTCTTGCCGAGTTCTAGGTCGGCTGGGAGGGCTTACATGGGCCAGGAGGTTGTGAGCGAATTACCGGGATTGTATCACAAAGGGTCCCCTGCGCATAAATGCAGCCTTTCAGCACCGGGAACTGCAGGGGCCCTGGGACACACAAATCAATAGACACAAATAACCGCACCCCCCATATCTGCCCATGTTTTCTGGGCTTTTGCCTCCCCCCCCACTTCCCATAATTATTTTCTCACATTTCCTGGGGAATCGGCGATGAATTGTGTCTGTGTGGTTTCCTTCCCTCCTGAATCACAGAGGTCCCCCTGCGCATAGACCCCTGCAGCCTCTCAGCACGGGGAGAGCCCTCCCGACACGAGCGGGCTCCCCGTGGCCCGGCCGCGCGGGGAGAGCCCCGGTGGTGCGGAGGCGCCGGCTTCCGTCGCTCGCTGGGCTGTTTTATCACGAGCGCTCTCTTGCCTTGAAGGTGTGCAGCCCTCCATCCACCTGCAGCTGGCGCTCCCCCCAACAAAAAACATGATGGCGCACCCCGCATGTCCTCACACGAGAAGGGCCGCGTGGTGCCACCGTGTGGTGCCATCGGAATGGTGCGGGAGATGTGGCGCAAGCTGCGTGGTGCAACCGTGCGGTGCAATCTACGTGGTGCACGATGTATAGCTCAATCTACGTGGTGCGAGCTATGTTATGCAAGCAGCACGAGCTAGGTGGTGCAAGCAATGCGGTGCAATCCGCCTTGCTGAAATTGACGTCGCCAACTCCGCGGTTCAGCGCAAGCATACCACCCTTCCACCCACAACTTGATTTCCACAACCCATGTAGCCGCGATTGCAGTGACAACTAGGTATTGGCTGGCGCACTTCTCAGGCTGCGCTAGCGTGCGCACACATGCGCACAGAGCGGCCAGCGAATTGGACACAGCCGACGCGGTCGCGATGGCGCTTACCGACAAGAGATCCCCAGCGCGTCTCAAAGGCAGCACTGACGCGCGGGCACTTCAGTGCAGGTCGGTGGCTCGGACCGGCGCGGTATCATGGTAACGTCCACCACGGATGCAATGATTGTGATAGTAGCGATGGTGGTTGCGATCATGACCATGACGACGGCAGCGCCGATGACTGCGCCGATGGAGGTGACGATGATGACGGTGGTGCCGTCCATGGTGGTGGTGGTGGTGAGAGTGAATGGCTTATGATGGCGGCCATGGCGGCGAGTGGCGATGACGATAACGGCAGGTGATGGGTGGCGCTGGTGAGGGTGCGCGCGCGGACATGCAAGAAATCTGGCGGATTGGTTGATGAACGACACGTGGCTTTCCGCATGTCGTATAGAAGAGCTGTGTCTTGAGATGTGTCGACAACCAATGGCTCAAGCCATGTTGGCTCAAACCAATTTGGCTCAAGGGTCCCGCCCACAGGTTTCCGACAACGACCCGGCCCCGCGCGCGGGCCCGCGCGTAGAGGGTAATCCGCGCGCGCGCGGCCTGCACTGGATGCCGGGCGGCCGCCGGGGTGGCTGCTGGCGGGGCGGACCCGGCGTTGCTCCCAGGACCACGGGCCATGCTGGGGCGCCATGCTGGGGCTGCCCTTGCGGGCACGAGGGCGATTGGGCGTGCCGCTTGCGCTGCCAGCGCGGCGGCAAGCCTGCGCGGCGCCGCAACGGATCGCAGATGCAGCCCGCGCAGCAGCGGCCGTCGCAGAAGGCGGAGCCCAGGTCGGGGGTGCCTCGTAAGCGACGCCAGCCGCGTGCAGGTCTCCTACGCGGCCATGGTGCAGCGCATGCTGCCATCGCCGCCGGGCGGCGGAGCGGACTGGAGACTTGCAGATGCAGCCGTCCACCGCGGCTGGCACTCCGCAGGACCCCTCGGCGGCCGAGTTGAGCCCTTCGCAGAAAGAGCTCCGCTATTGGCACGAACGCCAGGCGTCTGCCCAGCGCTGCGGGACGACGGCGGACGAGGCCGTGTGCGAGCGACAGATCCAAGCCTTGGAGCTGGCCGCTCAGGGGTCGAATCCTTGGGCAGTCATCGTCCAGGCCATGACGGACTCGCAGAAGGCGGCGGCGAACAAGCTGATGACGATTAACGAGGACTTGACGGAGGCGCGCCAGGCCCTGGCGCACTTCGAGGCTGAGGGGGTGAAGGCGCAGGCAGCACTTGGCCAGGCCGGTGCGGCGCTGATAGCGGTGCAGGCGGAGGCGCCTCCTGCACCTGCACCTCCTGCCGCCACCTCTCCGAGGCTGGGGTCGCCGCAGCCTTCGACACGCTGGCGGCCGCCGCCACGAGGCTGCAGCCGCACGGAAACGGCGCGAGAGGCGGCGGAGGCGAGGCCGCGGCGCTCCTCGAGCAGCTCCGCGCGCTGGTGGCTGCCGCTGTGCGCGGGGCCGGCGAAGGGGGCCCCTGCCGCATGTGCGGCGGCGGGCGCGGCAGCTCCCGCCGCCTCTGCGCATGCCGATGCCGTCGTCGCTGGGGCCGCTCGCGCGGGCGCCCCCGCAGCTCCGGGCGCCCCCGCCGCCAGCGGGCGTCGTCGCCGCTGCTGCGCCCCTGGGGGGCATGGGCACGGCGGCCGTCACAGCCCCCGTCGGCCATCCGCCAGGGAATGGCGCCGGCGGCGCCGCGGAGGGGCCTGCCGCGCCGAGGCTTGGGTCGGGCATGTCCTCCTACAGGCGGATTCTGGCAGAAAAATTCAGCACAGTCAAGACATGCGCAAAAATTGCCAAAAGCAGTCGCAGAATATCGTACCAAGACTATATTGTTTGGCTATTTGCGAATATTGCGGCCAGACTTAGCTCGGCGCTCATTTCGCGCTTGAAAGAGTGATCGGTCGCTGCTGTTTTAAACTCCATCGCTTCCAGTTCGACTCTGTTCTGCTATATTCACGTATGGTGTGATCTGCTCTGCCTTCGACGGGCGGCGTGATGTCGTGACGCCCGTCATGTTTGACATCTCGTCTGATCGGTCATTGCTGCGCCTGCTTCTTCCTGAAACCAGCCTCACGCTGGCGCGCATGTTGCGTTTGATAGGGCGCTGCTAATCGGTCGTTGCGGTGTTCTACAATCTTTAACTGTGTTCTATTCAAGCACGCTCTGGTCTGTTATGCTATATTCGGTTATGTTCAGCTCTGGACGGGCCGGCGTGACGCCGTGACGCCTGTCACGCTTGATACGCAGTCCAATCGGTCGTTGCCGCGCCAGCTTGTTCCTGTGGCCAAGCTGACCTCGACGCGCACGCCACGTTTGGTAGCACGCCGTGAATCGGTCGCTGGTGCATTCTTGCCTAATCTATGTCCGATTCTGGACTACTTGGGGATATTACGACACGTCATGTTATGTGCTGATCTCTTCGGTCTCTTCAATTATGTAGTAATGCACTATGTCCTACTATGTCGAGTTACGTTCAACTTGCTTCTGTAATACCCGACCCAGTAAGTAATATGTTATCCTAAAATAAATGTGTTGTTTGGTGTGCTCGTTTGTGCTCGGAACGATTCTCTCTGGTTCGACTCTGAACTTAGTCTCCCATGATCCGCCACCGTGCCTCGAGGCACGAAGTGGAGTGTCCTCAGGTCCTCGAGGGCTTCCTGCTCTCTGCGCTCGGGACTGGGGGATAATACAATTCTAGCGGCTGTGGGCCCAAACTCTCACATGCTCCCGACGTTCCCGCGCGCTCTCGTGCGCTCGTGGGCTCGGTCGCGCGGACTTTCCAGATGCCACAGGGCCCCAAGACAGGCTGGAGGGCCCCAAGAAGCGCTCAGGAGGCCCCCAAGAGAGTCTAAGAGCGCTCCAAGACGCCCAAGATGGCCCCAAAATTGCTCAATAGGCCCCAAAGAAGCCCCAAGAGCGCCCCGAGCGGATCCCCAAGAGGGCCCAAAGAGGCAAAAATGATTGATGTTCCTTTTGTGTTTTCCATGTTTTTCGCGTTCTCGCGTTTTCGGACTTCCGACGCCCCAAGATGGCCCCAGAGGCTCGCAAGACGGTACAAAAGGACCCCAAAACGGCCCAAGAGGGGCCCAAGATCACCCAAGAGGGCCCCAAAACGGCCCCCAAGGGGGGGCCCAAGAGAGGGAACATGAACCTTTCAATCCGAACCTTCCGCCGGAAGAGACCCCCAGAGGGCCCCATGAGGCCCCCAAGAGAGCACAAGAAACCCCCTCTATGGAGGCCCCACGAGGCCCCCAAGAGGCCAAAAAAAGCACCCCCGGAGGTCCCCAAACGGCACCCAGCAGGCCCCAGTGTGACTTCACGAGGTCCCCGAGAGGCCTCCCACGATCTGCAGTCCGCCGACCCCTTTGGGGACTCTACACCTTAGACAATGCTTAAGAGTCTCGAGTATTCTTAATGTTTTAATGTAAATCCTAAGATTTGAATAGACATTTTGGGTTTTTATTCAAGTTCTGAGACTATGAATTTCTTAACCCATGATTTCTTAAGCATTTCGCGGGGTGTAGGCGCGTGAGAACTTCCCCCCCCGTACCCAACCTTGGGTTCCCCGAGCCGGGAATTCCCCCCGGCCCCAGACGACCCCCGAACGAACGCATCATGCAAGGATGGAGGGCTCCAAAACAAGCCAAGAAGGCCCACAAGGCTCCCAAGACTGCCCACGAGGGCCCCAGAGCGCAGAAAGATCGCTGCAAGACGCCCAGAAGGCCTCCAGACGGTCGGACAAGCGCCCAAGACGTCCCAGGAGGTCTCCAAGAGGCGCCCGAAGAACGCCCCAAGAAGCCAAAATCACTAATTGTCCCTGGGTGTCCGAAGGTTTCTGGCCACGCTCCAAGACAGCCCAAGAGACCCCCGAGATCGCCCTAAAGACGGCCCAAGAGGCCACCAAGACGGCCCCAAGACGGCCCAAGAGAGCCCCAAGACTGCCCAAGGGGCGCCCAAAAGGCGCCCAAAACGGGCCAAGAGGCTCCCAAGACGGCTCCAAGAGGGGCCCCTGGTCGGGGACCGCAAACCGAAAATTCTAGCCTTCCGCCTCGAGAGAACCCAAAAGAGGCCCGACAAGGCCCCCGAGATGCTTACCACGAGATCCCAACAGACACTGAAGAGCCGTCTGACCCACTACCCAGGCACTGTGGCGGGATGGGCCGCAGGCGATGTAGTAGTCGCAATTGGTCTCCGCCCCAGCCCACCGGCCACCCGGAGAACCGCGGAAAATGTACAGTCCAGCTCTCCCGCTCCAGACGGCCCCAAGATTGCCTCCAAGACAGCCTCCAAGACGGCCCCAAGACGCCCCCAAGACGACCAAGATGGCCCCAAGACGGCCCCAAGACAGAACAGAATGCGCTCCAGACGGCCCAAGGAGGGCCCCCAAGTCGCCCCAAGAGTGCTCCAAGAGGACCTCCAGGAGGCCGATATCATCGAATGTCATTCGGAGTTTCAATGATTTTAGCGCTCTCGCCTCTTCGGGCGCCCGACGCTCAAAGACGGCCACATGTGCCCCCAAGGTCGCCCAGAAGACGGCCCAAGAGGGCCTCAAGACGACCCAAGAGGCGCCCAAGATGGCCAAACAGACCTCCAAGACAGCCATGCAGCGCCCGAATCGAAACCCACGACTACCCAGAGAGGCCCCCAAGAACGCTCCCGAAGGCCACGAGGCCCCATAGAGGCCCCCAGAAGCCTCCAAGGGGCCCCTAAGAGGCACCCAAGAGGCCCAAGGAGGCCCTTCTGAGGCCCCCAAGACGCTCCCAGGAAGCCCCCAGAAAGCCACAAGACGGCCTCCTCCTCCTCCTCCTCCTCCTCCTTCTCCTCCTCCTCCTCCTCCTCCTCCTCCTCCTCCTTCTCCTTCCTCGCATCCTCCTTTGTCTCGCAAATGTTACCCCCAGGGGTTCCAGAACGGCTGGGGAAACACTTTGTCCGATAGCTTGGCCAGACTGTGGCCCCACGTTGGGCCACATGGGCGCTTCCACAAGGCAAGGGGCGGCGGTGCTCCGCCGTAGGCGTCTTCGAGAATTTGATGGAACAGTGAAGGCGACACGCCCAACCCGCCCTACCGACACTTTTGGTGGTGCGACGCGGATGGCTGCTGAATCCGCCACAGCGCTCGCAGCACTTGGCGAGTGTCGGATACCCGCTGCTTGTTACTGCCGCTTCTCGCGAAGCAAACTGTTGGGGCTCCCCGGCGCAGCGAGGCAAACATGGGTTAATGTTAGGTCGGGCACGTCCCGCTACAGGCGGATTTTGGACGACAAATAAAACATAGGCAAAACAAGCTCCAAAAGTTGTCCAGAATAGTCCACAAATCGTCCCAAGAGTGTGTTGACGATGGTTAAAGTATCCTCCTGTCGAGGGACACGCCCGACTTAAGGTTCATTGCGTGGCTGGACCCCATCCATTTTCTGCTTTCCGTGCGTGCAAAAAAAACAGCCTTAGGTCGGGCGTCCCCCTACAGGCAGATCTTCGACGAAGAATTCAAAATAGTCCAGGAAATACCCCAGAACGACCAAAAATCAGAGAAAAGTCGTCACCTTTTTATTTGTTGACTATTTTTGAATATTCCTCCTGTAGAGGGACACGCCAGACTTAAACCAAGCGGGGACCCCCGTGGATCTCCCCTGCCAGAAGGCGCTCGCCCGAACGCGGGGGGGGGGGGGGATCGCACAGCAGCGCGAAGTAAGAGGGCTGGGGAAGGGGGGAGGGAGGATTGAACCCCAGCAGCCCTCTGGACGTAGGTGGTCTAGGGCGGCTCCTCTTCCAACCTTCTTCTTCCCCTTCGGGGAGGGGCTTACCCCTCCCCCTGCCCCTACCCCCCTACCCTGGACCTGGACGAGGCCAGTCGCGAGCGATTAGGGCGTCCAAAACGGCCTCGGCGACGAAGCCAAATCATGGGGGAGGGGGGGAAGGGAAGATTGGATTGGACTGGCCGCCTGCTAAGACGAGTTCGTCGAAGGCTCGTGCGGGGAAAATGTGTGCACCAGTTGGAGGTACAGACAGACAGTGACGGCTGGCCATAAGTCACTGAGGGGTGCGTGGGCAGGAGGAGGGCGGAGGGAGCAGACGGGGGCAGGAAGTGGCAGGAAGCGGCAGGAGAAGCCAGAGCCAGGGAGGGAGGAGGGAGGGCGGGACGGCCGGGGAGGGGAGGACGGCCGCCGCCGCGGGCCGAGGGCAGGAACCACGTCCGTGCCCACGGCCTCGCGAGCCGGGCGCCGGGGCCTCGACCCCGTGAGCGCGGGGCATCTTTTCGCCACTGCCCCGCGCGCAACGCATCATGTGCGACTGCGTGTCCACGGGGTCGCGCCCCGGAATCCAGACCGCGAGGGCGTGTAGAGGAGGCAAAAAAAAACGGCATAGACATAAACTTCTGGCGCTCCGCGCGGACTTCTTGGATCTGCCCTGGACCCCCTCCCTGGCGCCCGGAGGCGCCGCCAGGGGGCCCCAGCGCGGATCCGAGAAACGGCCAAAAGTTTCTTGCTATGCAGTTGTATGTTCTTCGAGAACAGGCACCTCGAAGAGGCGGTGGCGCACCACGCCCTTCATCCGCGCCACGAGCATGGCCGCCTCCCCCTGCTGCGCAGCGCCCCGCCGAGGGCGGGCGGCGCCGCCCGGGGGGGGAGGGGGTGCTCGAGCCAAAGAGCGGGGAGGGGGCGGGGGGCAGCACGGGGAGGACAAGGACGAGGAGGGGCGAGGATAAGGGAGGACGAGGAGGGGGGAGGGGGAGGGGGGGAGGAGGTGCTGAGCAAGGAAGACGAGGACCACGACGAGGGAGGCGGCTAGGAGGAGGAGGAGGAGCAGCATAATGGTGCAGGCCGCACCACCCGAGCCACAGCTGGCTGCGGGCGGCTGGGGGCGCTGGACGCGGAGTCGCTGGACCTGCTGACCCCAGCCTGCCGGGGCGTGGACCGAGCGCGCGAGGCAGCGCGGCCGCCCCCTCCAGCAAGTCACAGGGGCGGGAGCGAGGGAGAGGGAGAGAAGACACCACCACCATCATGGTCGAGAGGCAGAGAGGGGGCAGACGTGGGCCCCGCTCGAGGCGGCCCCAGCCTCCAGTTCGGGGGAGGCATCGCGGACCACCTCGCCAGAGGGCCACGACGGCGACGGCGACGGCCCCAGGAGCCCCCCCGTCGGCCTGGCGCCCTGGGCCGCCGTCCTCGTCGTCGGCGTCGCCGCCCCCTCGCCCTCGTCGGCGCCGCGGCCTCTCCGCCGACAGCGCCGTGGCCCTCCGAGGCCCCCCGAAGCCCTGCAACACTGGCGTGATGAGCACCAGGTGTCACCATCTTCCTCACCATCACCACCGTCAGACCCATCATCATCACCAGTATCATCATCATCATCATCATCATCATCATCATCATCATCATCATCATCATCATCATCATCATCATCATCATCATCATCATCATCATCATCATCATCATCATCATCATCATCATCATCATCATCATCATCATCATCATCATCATCATCATCATCATCATCATCGTCGGCATCATCATCATCATCATCATCATCATCATCATCATCATCATCATCATCATCATCGTCATCATCATCACCATCATCATCATCATCATCATCATCATCATCATCATCATCATCATGAGCGTCATCATCATAATCATCATCATCGTCATCATCAGCATAAACAGCATCATCATCAGCAACATCTGCATAATCATTATCATCAGCAGCATCATGAGCAGCAGCATCATCATCATCAGCAGCAGCCTAATAATAACAAGCATCATCGTCATCCTCATCAGAATCATAATCATAGCGGAGTGTCGTCATAATTAGCATCAACATCATCATCATAATCAGCATCAGTCGTATCATCGTAGGCTTCGTCATCGTCATTTATCATGGCACTAACAGGTATCATCAATACCGTCATCGTCGTCGTCATCACCCTCATCATCAGCACAACCAGCGGAACCGTAATATTCATACGCTGCAGCGGCAGCCGCAGCATCGGCAGCATCACAGACAGCAACCTCATCATCACAACCCACATCACCGTCATTGTCATAGCTACCACCATCATGGGCATACTCATCATCGTCATCACCGTACCAGCAGCAGCATCACCAGTATCACCCCCATCACCATCGTCATCACTATCAATAGCATCATCGCTATCAGAGTCTTCATCATCATCATGGTCATCGGCATCATCATCACCAGCAGCAGTCCTGAGCAACGTCGTCATCGCCATCATGATCAACAGCACCAGCAACCGCAGCATCATCATCATGACCATCATCAGTACTCTTCAGCAACATCGTCATCACTATCGTCATCACCGCAATCAGCAGCATAAGCATCATCAGCATCATCATCCTGGACATCATCATCACCATCATCATCAGCATCATCAGCAGCAACATAATCATCATCAGCAGTGTCATAATCAGCATCTTAAATCGTCATCGCAATCGTCATCCGCATAAGCAGCACCAGACGCATCATCATCAGCATCATTATCATACTTCTCGTCATAATAAACATGACTGACAACAGCATCATCATCATCATCATCATCATCATCATCATCATCATCATGATCATCATCATCATCATCATCATCATCATCATCATCATCATCATCATCATCATCAGTATCATCCTCGTTGTGGCCGTCATCATCACCACGACCAGTCAGCATCAGCACCATCATCATCAGCAACGCCGGCACCAGCACCATAATCCTCATTCTGATGTCAGGCTCATCATCATCACCGTCTTCGCCATCATCAGATCTGAGCATTGTCGTCATCGGCACCACCATCAAACGAGCACCATCACCAAGCATCCCCATCAGCCTCATCATTACCACCGCCCTCGGCACCATCATCGTCACCATCCTCAGCAGCATCAGCATCATCGCCATCGCCATCGCCACCGCCACCGCCACCGCCACTCGGCTGCACGCAAGAGTGACCCTGGGTAAGAGTGACCTTTGGTGCGCGGCTTTTTGGGAGCCGCGGGGGGGCCCAACACAGGCGCGCAGGGCCCTACCATCGCGTGGCGCTCGGCGGTCGAGGGGACCCCAATGTGCCCGCACCAGAGGTCCCTCCGGCGAAGGGCCACCTCTCACGTCTATGGCCGAGCCTGCCTACCTACCAGACCATCCCAACCCAGCCCGAGGACCCGCATTTCGGGTTGGGGGGGGGATGTGGGCTCCATATGTGTGTTTTCTCGATGCTCCCGGACCCCCCCCCCGCCACTAGAAATCGAGGGTAAATATCTGACCCTTCGGGCTTGCTTGGGGCGGCTTGGTGGGCGGTGAGAGCCACCGCGCCGACGCCGACGCCGCCCGCCGAGGCCGCCGCCGCCGCCCGCGCCGCCCGCGCCGCCCGAGGGCCGCCGGGGGGGCACCGCGCCGCCTCCGCGCCCGGGCCGCGCCGCCGCCGCCCCGGGGCCCGTCGGCCCGCCCGCCGTGCCGCGCAGGCGCCCGGCGGCCTCCTCCAGCAGGGCCGCGGCCGCCTCGGGGGGCGCGCGGGGGGGCGCCGTCGGCGCCGGAGGGCTGCGCGGGCGCGTCGCGGGGGGGCTCCGATTGGGGGGCGCCGCGGGGGGGGCGTCGGAGCACCGGCGGAGGGCCGCGGAGGGCGCCGGAGGGCCGCGGAGGGCTTCTCCGCGTCGTCGGCGGCGGCGTGGGCGGAGGGCTTCGGGGGGGGGGGGGGGCCTTCTGGCAGGGCCTCCTGGTCGGAGCCTGCTCCAGCAGAGGTCGGGGTGCGTGCTGAGGTCTGGGAAGTGGGAGCGGCGTCTGGAGCCCGTGGAGGCTGCTCGGAGGCGTCTGGGGGACGGCCTGGGGCCTTCCGGGAGGCCTCGTGCGGGCCTCCGGGGCCCCGGTCCCCCCCATGCCCTGCGGTGCCCCCTGGGCACGGCCAGGGGGCCTCGGCCACCGCGACTCCGACTCCGTGCTCAAGGGTTTCCAGCCCTCTGTGCGCAGAACTGGAGGATTATCGTATTCCAGGGCTGGACCTAAACGTTGTTTTTCGCTGTGTTGTCGTTTTGTTGTCCGTTGTGCTCTACCTGCTTTCCTGCACCCCCCCTGCCAATACGAAAACCAAAACCCAGACGAAGTCCAGCAAAACAGCGTTTAGGTTCAGCCCTGTCGTATTCTAGGGGCTGGGGGCCCCCTGCGTTGCCGCGCGCTCTCGCGCGCTCTTGGGCTCGGTCGCATGGATTTTTGAAGAGGCCACAAGGCCCCAAGACAGGCCGGGAGGGCCCAAAGAAACGCCCAGGAGGGCTCCAAGAAAGCCCAAGAGCGCTCCAAGACGCTCAAGACGGCCCAAGAGGCCCCCAAAAAGCCCAAGAGGGCCCGAACAGGTTTCCTTGGATGTTTTCTATGTCTTTCGCGTTTTTGCGTTTTCGGGCTTCCCAAGCTCCAAGATGGCCCCAGAGACCCCCAAGACCGCCCCAAGACGGCCCAAGAGGCCCCCAGGAGCAACAGGCGCTCGAGATCGCTCAAGAGGGCCCCGAGACGGCCCCAAAAGAAGACCAAGAGGGGGAACACGAACCGACAATTCGAGTCTTCCGCACCAAGAGCCTCCCAGAAAACCCCAAAAGGCTCCCAAAAGAGCCCAAGAGTGCCCACTAGAGGCCCCACGAGGCCCCCGAGAGGCTCAAACAGAAGCCCCAAGAGGCCCCCAAACGGCCCCCAAGAGGCTTCAAAACTGCCTCCAGGAGACCCCCGAGAGACCTCCCACGATATCCAAACGAGCATCCAAGAGGCCTCGAACCCACAACCCAGGCACGGTCGCGGGATGGGCCGAAGGCCACCCGAGAGAGAGAGACAGAGAGAGAGAGAGAAAGAGAGAAAGAGAGATGAACATATAGATATGTATATTTACACATAAACATACACATGCATATAGAGGCAGCGTTTGGGCAAACTTCTGGAGTCTCGACGGACGCACAGCCAGCCAAACCAGTGCTAGAGCATAGTGAGCAGAACGGCAGATCACGAGATTGCCCAAGACATCGCGCTGGTGACACAGAGCACACTGGGGGGCAATCCAAGGGCCTCCTCCTCCTCCTCCTCCTCCTCGATATCCTTATGTTGCTCCTGGTGCTGCAAGACGTCGTCCTCACCCTCCTTCTAGTTCTCTTATCCCTCCCTCGTCTTCCTCGAACTCCTGATCGTTGGCCTGGGCGATCTCTTCTTCCTCCTCCTCCTCCTCCTCCTCCTCCTCCTGCTCCTCCTCCTCCTCCTCCTGTTTACGTTGCGCGCACATACGCTGTAAAGCCTCCTCCTCCTCCTCCTCCTCCTCCTCCTCCTCCTCCTCCTCCTCCCCCTCCTAGTCCTCCTTCTAGTCCTCCTCCTCCTCATCGTCCTCCTCATCCTCCTCTTCCTCCTCATCCTCCTCCTCCTCATCGTCACCATCCTCATCCTAGCCTCCTCGTCCTGGTTGTCATCCTCATGGATCTCCTCGTCCTCCTCGTGCTCATCCTCCTCGTCCTCCTCCTCCTCATCATCATCACTCTCCCCCTTCCATGATTGGACCGATGACATCCAAGATGGCCCCAAGAGGACCCCACGGTCCTCAAAAAAAATCCAGCATAGCCCCAAGAGAACTCTAAAAGCTTCCAAACGGGCCCCAAGAGACCTCAGAGACGACTCCGAAACGCTTTCGGAGGTCTATAATCTCTGCACTGTTCGCGCTTCTCTTTCACTGTATGCGCTCCCCCGCCCAACCTTTCGCCCGGGCATCGTTTCTTGATTGGCTTCCAGAAACACGGGGCGCGGCAAGGAGTACCTTCGCCCATCCACCTTACCTTTGGGGGGCCGGCGGAACAGCGTAAGTCTTGTGAGTAACACTCCTAGCTGGAGATGGACGTAGCCTGAGATACCGCGGGGCTGACCGTGGGGTTGGCATGGGAAATCTGGGGAGCGCTGGCCGACACTGCTTGGCTGCGGCCGACAAGGGGACTCTTGGTCGACGCACGGATCTCGTCCCGTCCTAGTCGGCGTACGGATACAAGCGCACGTGCACGCTTGCACGGGCTGCATGGGCTAGTCTTTCTTGTTTGGGGGGGGCCCTCCCGCCGACCCCTCACCGCACACCACGGGAAGGCACGGCAAGCCCCACGGGATGTTCGCATGGACACGCTGTCTCTGGACCGGGGGGGGCGCCCATCCCGGAGAGGGATGCCTCCGGAAAGCGCCCCGGAGGATCTCCCCGAGTTCCCCGTCTTTTCGGAACGGCCTGCTCTGAATTGTTGTGTGTGCGTGGAAGGGGGGGGGGGATTCTGGCATTGGACTGGGGACGCCAAGCCGCCTGCAAGCGCAGCCACCTGGCTGCGCTGAGTTCCACGAGCCCGGCCGCTGCGGCACGGCCCCTCCCAGACGCGGTGTGGCCGTCTGCTGCCAGCTGCGCCCTCCGCCTGCTCCAGGCCGCAGCCCTGCTGGACTGGCAAGTGCCCCCGCATTCCACATTCCAGTTTCGCCACACAGACAAACACAGACACCTACCTCCTCCTCCCCCTCCCCCTCCTCCTCCTCCTCCTCCTCCTCCTCCTCCTCCTCCTCCTCCTCCTCCTCCGCGCAGATCTATGCCGCGGTCGAAGGCAGCCAATGGACACGACGGGGCCGCATGGGGCCGCATGGGACACAATAGGGAGGGAAAGAGCGCGGGCGCGAGAGCGGAGGAGGCGGAGGCGGAGCACGCTCAGAGCATTAAGTCCTGGAACGCGTGTGCCATAGCACGGGCGTGCACAGCAGGAAGACGCGGAAGAAGTTCGAGGATGCGAGCAGCACTCGAGTAGCCACGGGGGCCACGGTCTCAGAAACTGTGCTGCCAGGCAACGCGCAGCAACGAGTGATGCAGTTCAGGGAAGCCCGAGGGGAAAACCCGAACCAGGTGGGCGACAAAAATTCGCTTGAGCAGGACGTATGACTGAACGGAGCCCAGGGACATGAAATCACACGCGCGCACAAGCACAGACACACAAACACACACACACACACTTACACACATATACACACACACACACGCACGCACGCACGCACGCACGCACGCACACCCCACACATGTCCTCGAATGCGGCAATGAGTCTTTACCACACGGTCGGCACTGTGGGACATGTCCACAGCTCGTTAGCTGGCCACCCTGTGAACGCGCAGTAGATCAGAAGCTCCGATCCACAGTTTTGGCTCTGAACGGCAGCACGATCGCGCAGCGCCTCGGCGGTCCCCAGCGCCCGGCGCTAGGGAGCGACAGCACAAAGAGCAAGGAACGAAGATGCAGAAGAAGCCCTGCATACACGTTATCAAACAGGACACGGAGTCTGTGCTGGTGTTAGCTGGTCATCGTAGTTTGGCTCCTGACTCGGCACAATGGCGCTCCACTGCCCTTTCATACTGTATAATGTGTTCTTCGTTGGCCCCCGTCGCGGTCCTTCTCTTCCCTCATAGGGTCCCGCCCCTCCCCTCCCTGAGAACACTTGAGGGTATGAGAAGATCATTCCCCCCCTGTTTATCCACCTCCTCCTCCTCCTCCTCCTCCTGGTCCTCCTCTACATCCCTCTTCTCACACCCGTCCCTTCTCCACTCTCCCGCTCCTCTTGCCCATCCTGCTGCTCTTTTTACCCTATTCCTCCTTCTGCTCCTCCTCATCCTTCTCCTCCTCCTCAGCCTCCTCCTCCTCCTCCTCCTCCTCCTCCTCCTCCTCACCACCACCAGCATCATCATCATCATTATCATCACCACCACCATCATTACCCTCCTCATCAGCAGCATCATCATCACAAATCATCATCATCATCATCACCACCATCAGCAGCATGAACATCAGCATCGTCATCATCACCATCACCGTCTCCATCATGGTCATCATCTGCATCATCAACACCAGCATCAGCGTCAGCATCACCATTACCATCAGCATCACCATCATCAGCAGCATCATCACAACCACCGTCATGATCACAATCATAATCAACAGCACCAGCGTCATCGTAATCAGCATCATAATGATCAGCATGGTCATCATCGTCGTCATCATCATCATTATCATCATCAGCAGTACCATCATCATCACCATCATCGTAATCATCAGCAGCATGACAATCGTCCTGATCATCACCACCACCAGCATCACCATCATCAGCATCACCATCGTGTCACAGCCACATTCATCATCAGCAACACCAGCATCGGCATCATCATCAGCAGCAGCGGCAGCATCACCAACATCAGCCTCAGCATCCGCATAGTCAACATCAACATCAACAGCATCAGCATCATCAACATCATCAGCCGCCGCAGCATCATCGGCATCATCATCATCAGCAGCAGCAGCATCAGCACCATCACCATAATCTGCATCATCGACATCGGCATCATGGTCATCAGCAGCATCGTCAGCGTCAGCATCAGCATCATCTGCATCAGCATCAGCATCCTTATCATAAGCAGCAGCATCATCAACAACAGCATCATCAACATCGACATCAGCATCAGCATCAGTGCCATCAGCATCCGCACCATCATCAGCATCAGCATCAGCATCAGCATCAGCATCAGCTTAGTCGTCAGCCATAGCAGCATCACGTGCATTATCATCACCACAGTCGTTACCGTAAGTATCAACATCCCAACCATCCTCGCCAGCATCAGCACCATCATCATCAGCATCACCGTCACCATCACAAGCATCATCAGCATCACCGTCAGCACCAGCATCAGCATCATCATCATCATCATCATCAGCACCATCACCATCATCATCATCAGCAGCACCATCATCATCATCATCATCATCATCATCATCATCATCATCATCATCATCATCACCATCATCATCATCATTATCATTATCATCATCATCACCATCATCATCATCATCATCATCATCATCATCATCATCGTCGTCACCATCACCATCATCATCATCATCAGCATCATCATCACCATCATCATCATCACCATCATCATCATCAGCGGCAACAACGGCAACGGCAACAGCAGCAACATCAGCGTCGTCATCCGCCGCCTCCTCCGCCTCCTCTTCCTCGTCATTGTGCTTGTCCTCCCCCTACGTCTGATCACTACGCCGCCCCCCGCTGTGATTCACCCCCATCCTCCCCCCTTCCCTCTTCCACGGACCTCTAACTTCCTGCTGGCGTCAATGCGCGGGGAGCCAGGGCACCCATGCCTCGTTCGCGGGGTGTGCTTCGAGAGCCACCAAGTCAGGAGGTTTGCCACCAGAGGCGTCACGCTTGGAAAGGTCGGCCAACCTTATGTGTTCTAGACGCCAAGAAATCTGAGTCCCCCTCCTCCTGCTCCCTCCCCCTCTTCCTCCCTCTCCTCCTCCTTCTCCTCCTCCCCCTCTCCCCCCGACAGCGCTCCTCGTGGTTAGCCGTCTCCTGCCCCTCCTCCTCCTCCTCCTCCTCCTTATCCTCCTCCTCCTCCTCCTCATCCTCCTCTTCCTCCTCCTCCTACTTTTCCTCTTCTTTTCCTCCTCCTCCTCCTCCTCCTCCTCCTCCTCCTCCTCCTCCTCCTCCTCCTCCTCCTCCTCCTCCCCCTCCCCCTCCTCCTGTTCCTCCTCACGATGGCGCTCCTCGTGATTGCCCGTCTCCTCCTTTCCCTCCCTCTCCCGACGGTGCTCCTCGTGGTTCTCGGCGCTCTGCGCCAGCCTCAGGGGCCGCGCCGCGCCGCCCCCCGCAGGACCGGCCCCGGAGCGATCGGGGGTTCGTCCGTCCCTGCTCCTCCTGCCCCGTCCTGCTGCTGCTCGTGCCCCGTCCTGCTCCCCGTCCTGCTCCTTCCCAGGTCCTCATCATCCTCCTGCTCGTCCTGCTCCTGTGCCGTTCTCTACCTCCCGCCCGCCAGCATCCTCGATGCGAGCGTCGTTCCCTGACTGCGCCGCATCCCTCCTCGTCACCGGCTCCATGCTAGTCCTAGTCCACCTCACCATCATCAGCACAAGCATGAATATCATCATCAGCAGCAGCATCATCATCATCATGATCATCATCGGCAGCATCACCATCATCATCAGCATCAGCAGCATCATCATCATCGTCATCATGATCAACAGCATTATCATCATCGTCATCATGATCAACCGCAACAGCAGTATCATCAACGACACCAGTAGCAGCAGCATCGCCATCATCATCAGCAGCAGCATCAACGTCATCGTCATCGTCATCGTCGTCCTCATCATCATCGTCATCACCAGCATCATCATGAGCACAACCACCACCAGCGCCACCATCATCGGCTTCAAAATCGTCACCACCATCAGCATCATCATCAGAATCAGCAGCAGCGTTCTCATCTTTCCACATACTCGTCGTCCTCATCTCAAATACCGATTCGATCCTCCTCATAATCAGCAGCAATTGCTTCAGGATCACGAGCACCGTCATCACACGCATCATCAGCATCAACATCATCATGAACGTCATCATCGTCACCATCGCCCCACTCATCGTGGTCACCATGGTTATCATCATTAACCTCGTCTTCTTCGTCCTCATCAAGACGCGCCCCAGTATCACCACAATCATCATCATCATCATCATCATCATCATCATCATCATCATCATCATCATCATCATCATCCTCATCAATACCACCGTCGTCGCCAACGTCACGGGTCCCCATCCTTATAAGCAGAATAAGCAGCATCACCGCCAACCTCAACATCATCATCAACAACAACACAATCATCACCGCCATCATCATCAACAGCATCCGCATTATCATCATCATCATCAACAACAACAACACAATCAATAATCATCATCGTCACCATTATCACCGCCATCACCATCATCATCACCATCACCATCACCATCACCGTCATCACCAATACCGTCACCGTCACCACCATCATACTCATCATCACAATTTCCTCTCCCTTTACCGCATCACGTTCCTTCTCCCGTGCCATCCCGTTCGCCCCCTGACTTACATGCCCCCGTTGAACGAAGGAAAGAACGAACCATCACGTCGGACAGCTGTCTGGGTCTGCTAAGACAAGGTGGGTGAGGCCATGGCCTCCTGTAGACATGCAGACATGCGTAGGAACTGCGAGACATACAAAAAGTTATGAATCAACGCAACACACAAAAATGACGGAGGAGAAAAAGGAGAAGGAAGTCCTGGTTGCGAATGTCGGCGCAGTGCTGATGTATTTGTGCTCGAGTGTCGACCACGCGGAAGTGTCTTGAAAAGAGCGAACCCAGGTAAGGTCATTTGGTTTGCCCTGCTCACTGGTTGGTGTGGGCGTTGGTTGCAGGTCGGGTCGTTGTTCTTGGAGGAAGATGACGAGGTCGTCGTCACAGCGCTTGCTCTGGCCGCTGTGGCGTATCCGGCCACGTTGGCGTGAGTTCTCTCCTGGTTGCCAGTGGAGTGCGCGCCACGTCCATCTGGTGGGCTCGTGGTTGGCTACCTTGGATGCCATGCGCCACATACTCTGCCTCTGAGTCATCTCCCAGTTTTCAAGGTGGTGGTGCTGCATGGGCTGCTCTGCGCGCCGCGTGGCTCGCTGGATGTAGTCGACCCACGGCTCCATCGCGTCCTCGTCATTGTTGTTGTTGTCGTTGCTCTCGCTGTGTCGGTTTGTCGTGTCTTGTTGGGGCGCGTTGCTCTCTGCGTCGTCACTGCTGCTGATTCTTTGAGGAGGTGCTTGGGTGGTCGTGCGGTCGTCCACGTGGCCCTGGGTGCTGCTCGTCGGGGCCGTTTGGCGGGTAGCGCGTCGCCTTGATGTCCTGATGATCATAGCATGCGTCGTTGTGTTCGCCGCAGGTGTTGCCGCCGAGGTTCCGTGAGCGTACACGCTTCTGCTCCGTAGAATGCTGCGGGTGTCACTGTCCGATTGAAAAGCCGCAGCCGGTGTGGAAGAGTACGGACGAGCGGCACTCACCAAGGGGGGCAACGTCGTCGTCAACGGCGGGGCGGGGCACGCCTGGCGAGCTGAAGGGCCGGCCCCTTGCAGCAACAGCTGGAAGAGGAAGGGTGACGACGACGAGGCAGACAACTTCCGGCGAGTTTCCAACGAGCCCGTGGGCAGGCCGCGGCGTGCTGGCCCTGAGCTGCCGGCCACGGGTGGGGGGTCGTCGCGAGGCGGCCCCTGGAGGCGAAGGGGCCGCGGCCCTCTGAGGTGTCCGGCCCCTCCTCCAGGCAGGAGGGGGGGGAGGAGAGAGTGAGGGAGGGAGGGGAGGGACGAGGAGCAGGAGGGGCATGGAAGCCATGTTTCCCCAAGGAGTCTTTGCACTGAGGGGTTCTTTCTTGGCTCCTCAGTCCCTGAAGGGGCTCCCCGGATCTCTGCCGTCGTCGCCCCCATGGGCGCCTCGCTCGCGCCTCGTGCGCTGTCTGGGTGCTCCGACGGTTTTTCGCTCAGGCGATGCCCGTGGGCCCCTGTCTGGCGCCTCGTGCACTGGATGGGTTCCCAAGGTTCCCCGGGTTCCACGGGCCTCTTGTCGGCACTTTCCGGCGGAGCCCTTGGAGGGACGCGCACGAGTGTTGCATCGCCGCACGGTGCAGCATGAGCGTCGTCCCTCTCCTCCCCTTTTAGCAAGGAGTGCTCTAGCTCTTGCTGCGTTGTCTTGGGATTGTCGATGAATCTGGGTTCTTACTTCGCAGGCTCCTGCAAAAGCCTGCAGGGTCCTGCAGGATCCTGCACCCAAACCTGAGCCAGGGCACCCCTGGCTCTGCAGGATCCTGCAAGATCCGGCGATCTGATTGACACCCGTTTGCATAGACCCTAGTCTCTTTAGAAAAAGAGGGGGAACAAAAAAAAAAAAACACTTTTGGCGCTCCGCGCGGATTCCTGGGATCTGCGCTGGAGCCCCCTCCCTGGCGCGCGGAGCGCGCCAGGGGCGGCGCCGGAGGCGCCGCCGGGGGGGGCCCAGCGCGGATCCAAGAAATCCGCGCGGAACGCCAAAAGCTTATGTCTATGGCGTGTTTTCTTCTTCGGCTCTTGGCCCCCGACTGAGGGGCAACCATAGGGGGGGGGACTGGTATAGGGGGGATGCATCGACCTGGAATCGGCGATACGTCGCCGATAGATCGGCGATGGGGCCCCGATAGTGGGTCCGCACCTTCCTGGGCAGGTTAGGGCTATCGGGCCCCTATCGCGATCAATGTCGGCGACTCCAACGGGTGTGGTTTGCAAAGGGTATGGCTTGCAACCGGCACCCTGGGGAACATCCTGGGAGGCACCCTGGGGGGCGCGTGGGGACCTCGACAGAGTTCTCCCGCGCCCCGAGGAGGCCCGACGAGGACAGTGTCGTGCCCCCCAGGCCGCAACGGTGACGATCGCAAACCACACCCCGGCGTAACCATGCCCTTTGTAGTCGCTGACAATGGGCCTTTGGGGGCCGGTGCATCCCCCCCCATCGTTGCCCGTGGCCGACCCGCATCCCCGGGTCCTCGCCCGGTCGCTGGCGGGCGCCTCGCCGGCTTCCTCGTGCGCTGGGCCCCCCGTCGCCGCCCGCGGGCTCCGCCCGTGCGCGGGAGCTGGCGCTTCGGGCGGCGCCGCACGGCTCTGGCACCACACACAGTAAAAGCATTGCATAAGGAACCATTGGACAAGGGATCCAGGGTCTAGAAGCTGGTGGAACACCAATCGAGGATCGGCCATGGATATCACCGCCGCCCTCATCAGATAAGGAATCCTCCAGGGTCTGCAGCCTACTGGGCTCATTCCTGAACGAACGCCTCCGCCGTAGCCTGCACCGCGTGGGCTTGCCCCACATAAAGCGGAGGCCAGTCCGCAAGACGCCTTCAACAAGAAGCCAAACCATGAGACCCCAGGACGTCCCTTGATTTGTTTGGTGCGGGAGCGCCACGCTTTCCATGGCAAAACCATCGAAGCCCAAGAGACCCAGGACACCCTGGAGGCAAGCAGGGTGTGTCTTGGCATGTGACCCCACTGTAACTTGCACCACGTCGCTTGCACCACGCAGATGCCACCACGTAAACTGCGACACAAAACTCATGCCACAGATCATTCACAGCACAGCTTACACGTGCAGGGTGCAATAAAAATACTGTTCAGGGTTCACGCTGGCGAATGTTCGCCTGAGCCCCGCGACTCGGATAAGAACAAGAGAACCCCAAAGCTGCCGAGCCCCAGCGCCAATTTCGAGAAGCCCGCCGTGGGCGCCGAGCCTTTCTAAAACAATCAGCCCGCCGCAGGTGCCGATTGGGTTGAACCCTCGGCAGATCGCAAAGCTCGAAGACTGATGTAAAGAAGCCCACCGCGGGCGGTAATGCCTGGCAAAACAATGTGGGTGGGCCGCGGGTTTGGCTCGCGGATGCGGGTCGCGAGCGGGTCGCGCAGTACCCCGGGACAATGCAAGACAGGTCGGCCCCCTAAAGATGATGGTTGCGTTTAAGTATAATGCAAAATCGATGTCTAGTAGATATCAGCCTGCGTTGACTCCGAATAAATTAGACGACTTAAATCAAGGAATCAGAGGAATCAAGCATGCTTGGAATCCGCAACTCAGCAAGCAAGCAAGCGTGCAAGCAAGCGCGCAAGCAAGCAAGCGCACAAGCAAGCAAGCGTGCAAGCGCGCAAGCAAGCGCGGAAAAAAAGCAAGCGCGCAAGCAAGCAAGCAAACACGCAAGCAAGCAAGCATTGGAAACATAGGCATAAGCATAGGCATAGGCATAGGAGCGCTCAGAGGTGGTGCATAGGCATAGGCATAGGCATAGGCATAGGCATAGGCGTAGGCGTAGGCGTAGGCATAGGAGTTAGAGGGGAGGCATAGGCATAGGCATAGGCATAGCCATAGGAATTAGGGGGGCATAGGAATTAGGGGCGGGGCAACGGACAAATTCGCAAAGTTTGAGTTAGAACTCCTATAGGGCAAGCCTTTTTGATAATTATATGGTTCCTCTGGTGAGTCCTCCTCCCCCTCGCCCATCCTCTCCCTCCTCCTCATCATCTTGCTGATCTTCCACATGATCCTTATTCCCTTTCCCTTCCATCCTCATCCCTCTCTGAATACCATTATACGATTCATCCTATCCCGACGCCTCCATCCCTCATCCTTCTCATCCTCAACATCCTTCTCTTACTGACATGCCTTCTCCCTCCCTCATCCTTCTCCTTTTCACCCTCAATCCCCTCACCCCGCACTCTCTCTTATTTCTGCTCCTTACACCCCCCTGCTACTCTGCCGTCCTCCCCCCTTCCCCTTCTCCTTCTCCACCCCCTCTTCCTCGACATCCTTTTCCTCGTCGTCGTCCTCCTCCTCTTCCTCCTCCTCCTCCTCCTCCTCCTCCTGGCACTGATGACAACGTAGGGCGGTGCGCTGTAGTCAGTCAGACAAAAGCGTCGACCCTCTGAGGCATTGACAATATGCACGAGATCTTCTGCAGCAGGACGGCGTAGCCAACGCCCTCGTACTGGTCCACGCGCCGGCTTTGCAGGTTGGCCAAGCCGGTGTTGATGGAGTCCTCGGGAAGCACTCGAAGTCTACACCGGATCGCCCGACCGGCCAAGAAGACCTGTTCATAGACGCCCCAGCTTCCTAAGCTGCAGGATGCTGGAGCGTCACTCCCTCGCCGAAAACCGTTTGATCCCGGGCCGGCCGAACGACGTGGTAAAAAAAAGCAACAACAAGAAGAAAACATCGAGCCCCATCCGATCATATCATTATTAGTATTCGTATGATTCGCATACTTATTGTGATTCGTACGATTGTTATTCGATGACTACTGCGGATAACAATCGTTACACGGCTGGGTGGGGGAGGGGGGTGGGGCCCTGGGTAACGGGAACGCTTGGGCGGGGTGGGGCACGTCGGGGCAGGGGTGCGGTGTGATCGCCATGGTACGCGCGCTAGTACCAGCATGTGGGGCATGTGGCCCCTCCCCCCCCCCCGCGTACGATCGTTTCCGTTGCCCTCAGGTCGGGCATGTCCTCCCACAGGCGGATTTTGACAGAAATTGTGTATACATATATATATAATAATAATAATAATAATAATAATAATAATAATAATAATAATCAATGAATGGAGAGAGAGAGAGAGAGAGAGAGAGAGAGAGAAAGAGAGAGAGAGAGATGTCAAATAATGCTCAACAATTATCAGGAAAATGGAAAGATCGCCCCCAGACTTTCTCACTTCCACCTCTGAGCACTCCTCCTGTACGAGGGACGTGCCCGACGACTCAACGCTCCCCTGGCGGGGGAGGGGCCCGGCCCGTCCTGGCAGCGCGCGAGGCCCCAGAGGTCGTCGGTCTTCTGGTGGACGTGCAGCACCGCGGCGCGCGGCGGGGAGGGGCCGGGGGCCGGCAGCCGGGCCGGCGGGCGCGAGCGAGGCCGAGGGCGAGGCCTCCGCGGAGGCGTCCGCGGAGGCCTCCGCGGAGGCTCCCCATCGGAGGCCGCCGCCGGGCCTCCGCGAAGAGGCCCCCCCTCGGGGGGCAACGATGGGGGATTGACCCCTAAACATAAACATAAACATAAACATAAACATCAACATAAACATGGAGGGGAGAACGCGTCAGAAACATGAAAAAGGGGATTGACTCCTAGAGGGGAGGACGCGCCATGAACACAAACTGTTGGCGCGCCGCGCGGATTTCTCGGATCTGCGCCGGACCAGGTGCCCCTTCACTGGCGCGCAGAGCGCGCCAGGGGCGGCGCCGGAGGCGCCGCCTGGGGGACCCAGCCCGGATCCAAGAAATCCGCGCGGAGCGCCAAAAGTTTATGTTTATGGCGTTGTTTCTCTTTCGGCTTTTGGCCCCCGACTGAAGGGCAACGATAGGAGGGGGACTGGCATAAGGGGGGGATGCATCGACCAGGAATCGGCGATATACCGCCAACAGATCGGCGATAAGCCCCCGATCGTGAATCCGCACCTTCCAGGAAGGTCGGGGCTATCAGACACCTATCGGTGATCACTGGTCGATTGGGGGTCCATGCGTCCCCCCCTATGCCTATCCCCCCCTACCGCTGCCCCTGACCCCTGGAGGAGGCCTCCGCGAGGTCCCTGGTAGCCCACAAAAGGGCGTAGAACGCCAAAACCATATTTTTTTTCCGCGCCGCCGTTGCCGTCGTCGACGTCGTCGCCGTCGTGAGGGGGCAGAACAGTAAAAGCATGAGTTCTTCCACGTCGTCGTCACCGCCGTCGCCGACGTGAGGAGCGGCTCGAAGCGGCAAAGCACAACTACGGAGCCGCCAGAAGCCGGGAGAGGCATTCTTCCCCTCGGCCTCCTCCTTTCCTCCTCCTCCTCGTCCTCCTCCTCCTCCTCCTCCTCCTCCTCCTCCTCCTCCTCCTCCTCCTCCTCCTCCTCCTTTCCTTCTGCCTTCCTCGTCCGTTTTCTACTGTTCCTCGCCATCCTTCTCCTAGTCCCCGTCCCCTTTCTCTTCCTCTTCCTCCTCCTCCTCATCATCATCCTCCTCTTCCTCCTCCTTCTCCTCCTCCTCCTCCTCTTCTTCCTCCGTCTCTACCCCCGTATCCTCCTCCTCCTCCTCCTCCTCCTTCTCCTCCTCCTCCTCCTGCGCCTGCTTCTGATATTTTTCCTCCTTCTCCACTTCCTCCTCTTCCTCCTCGTGTTCTCCCTCCTCTTCCTCGTCCTCCTCCTCCTCCTCCTCCTCCTCCTCCTCCCCCGTCTTCTCGTGCATCAGCCGCAACGGTCGATGCTGGAAGGCTCCAGCCTAGTCCGTTCGAAGTATCCGATCCGATCTTCCTCGCCGAGAAGCTAGTTCTGAACGCGCTGGATGTCTCGCGCGGGGCGAGCACGCACAGACCGGCACCGAGCGAAAGGGACAAGGCACAGGTCGGGTGCGTCGTCGCGCCCCGCCCGCAGAGTCAGGAAGGCAAGGGCCGCTGAACCCCCTGCCAGCCTCTGGGCGGAGGTGTCGCAACGTCCCAGGGCTATCCGAAAGAATTCCTACTGCGGCCTCCGCCCACATCGCTCCCCTGATCAGAGCATCTCGCCAGGACACTATGTTCACCATTCCCGCCCGCTGCTTTGCCCTCCCCCTTCCCCCGTTCTTCCTCTACCTGCCGCCCCCCATTTCCATGGGCGTTTCCCAATTGCCCCTGGCCTCTGCGTGGCGGCAAACGCCCGCGCCCCCCCGCAACTGAAATACTCACCTTGCGCCCATCCTCCAATCCACTTGCGAGGCGCAAGTCTTGATTCCACACTGACACTGGCAAGCGACGTCGAGGCCCCGGCAAATCCGACAGGCGCGAGCGGCCCCCTCGAATGGCGGGCGACCAATACGTAAGACGGCGTCGCAAAAGTAAGTTCGGAATGTGGGAATCCGCGCGAGAAAATAATTCACTCGCCCAAGCTGTAGTGATGTGTCTGTCCGGCTCCTCCTTCCCATTATCCGCCCCATCCCCCCCATGTATTCCTCCTCCTCCGCGCGCGCGCTCCGCAGAACAGCCCCAATCCCCACGCGCTACGGCGACTACTGGGGCCCACGAGCATCCCTGAGGTCAATATGTGAGGCCTGGGGGAAGCCGCTCGCTGGTGAGCTTCAAAATGGCCTTGCGTCCGCCGCTCTGACTGTTCCGAAGGGGAGCACAGGCTTCCTTGAATGCCTTGGAGGCCCGAACCCGCTAGCAGCCACGCCGCCGACGCCAGAGGATCCCCCCTGAACGAACGAGAGATGGGATCGATGGCCAGGGCGAATGGCGGGGCCTCCTTCTACGCTCGAGACCCTCGCTGACCTCGGGCCCCCCCCGGGCGCCTGGATAGCCGAGGGGGAAGGGGCCGAACACAAAGAACGGAGCCAGCGTGCCGCAGACCTCCCGTGGGTTTTCTCGCGGCACCTGGCGAGAGAAACCTGGTACCTTTGGGTCTCTGTCCAGTGAGAAGTCAAAGTGGCAAGATACTGGAAGGCCCTCTCGCTTCGCCCCCGCCGCAAGGCCCCCATGGTCTCGGCGGGAACTTCAGTCACGGGAAAATGGCTCTACCACATCATCGGCGCAGCTGCCAGCATCCCATGGATCTGCTCAGCAAGGGCGCCCAGTGCCAGCGCTCGCTGCACAAACTCCTGGGGGATGGCAGCTTGGTCGGCAACCTCGCCTGCTAGTTTACCGGCTGTGCCATTGACATGGAGAGCCCAAGCTGGAAAAATCAGTACACCATGGTCCGCGGCATGCAACTTGACATTGAGGCGCCTAATTTGGCCTGCCCGCGCGCCCATGACTCTCCGGCGTTCTAGCCAGAGCCTGCGATGCGAGGATATCTGCGAGGCCCCTCGAGGCGCCCACGGGTGAGATAGGCAGAACCTGTCACCACTCAGAGGTCACCCTTAGTGCACCCGAGAAGCCACATGGCCCCTGCGTGCTCAGCACGATGGATGGCTTGAGCCTAACAACATCCCCTGCATCCAACCCACTCAGCCGAGGCGGGAATCAGCAGAGAAGGGCCCCCCTAAGCCGCGCGCCGAGCGCAGGCGCCGAACACCCCTCGGCCCAGGAGGGCTCAGGAAGGCACTCGCCCCTTGTATGACGGGATGCTCCGGCGTCGGATCCTCTGCTCCTTTCAACGCTAAGCCCGCCGGGATCAGTCCTTGGAGCCAGAAGCACGCTGGTTGGTCATCCCCCTGGGCTGCATCGGCGAGGTCCTCGGCAGCCTGGATGAGTGGGTGATCAGCTCAGAACAAGAGTGGGCAGCCCCAGAGCATGCGAAAAGTCGTCGCCAGGGTGGTCTCCACGCAGAGGACAAACGTCTCTTGGGACTCCCGGTGGCACGACTACCCACTGCCATTAGGGCCTTCGCGAGGTGATTCTGGCCATCGCGATGCATCCGATCGACTTGCAAACGTGAGCTCTTGTTGCCAACTCCACTCTGGCATCCTCCTGCCGCAGGAAGCCCTCGCGCTCCGCTCCAGACCTCGCGTTGGAGACCCTGATGAAAACTGCGCGTGGAATAATCCTGCCCCTCAAATGTTCCGGGCCCCGCAGGGGGGGGGCCCCGCCCAGGTCGGACCAGGGCCGCGCCGAACCTGGGCCCAACCCGAAGTCCAGGAGGACCCCCACGACTGCACTAAGTTGGCCGGAGATGTCGCCCCACCTCCTTGGCCAGCGAAGCTCGGCAACGATCCTGCGCCACGTGGCCGCCGTGCCACTGCAGAGCTGCGGCCCAGTGGCGACTGGCCCGAACCACGTCTCAAACAACTTGACCCCGCGGACAATGACGCGGCCCAACGCCTCCGGCGGCAGCTTGCACTGGCGGAGGCCCGCTGCGAGACAGTTTCCAGGTTCGCTGGCCAAGGGCGGCCCCCGCTGCGCTCCTGCGCAAGGTCTGCGTGAGCTCCGTCGGTGAGGCCTTGTGCCCCTCGGGCCCCCAGTGGAGCGGCGGCCGGGCCCCTGCGCGATAGAGACGGCGGGCGCTCTCGGTGACCCTGAAGAACCCCTCGACGCCCCTGCGCCTCCTGAACCCATGACGCCGCCTGGCCCCACGGACCTCGAGGCGCCCGCCCCTGCCAACTG